ATACAGAAATTGCTATTGAATATTTGGATTGTTCTCTTTATAAACCAGTTAAAACCATTTTCACGGTGAATATTGTTGGGGGAAATAATTTCTTCCATACGTCAAGGTAAGTCAGCACCTGTCGTTATCCCTATAGAATTCACGGCACATCCTTCACCTTTAAATTAGATCCTGATCAAAATTAGAAAACAAACAATTGATTGCTATAATGTTAAGAGTTGATGAGGACTTTGCCTGTAAGATTCAGAACACACCAGCTTTTACAGGGTACAGTCTCGGGGACGGTTATCGAGTGGTGATTCAAGATGATTGTGCTGTGGGGATTGATGATGCAGGCCCATGAATGCCAGAAACATGCTCAAGGTAATCCCCTCACTCAGGGCATGGCCTACACCAAATGCATGTGTTCATGTTGCATCTGTCTGTTCATTAAAGCAACGTTTGCTGTAGAAACCTGAGCTGATAAATACATGTGTGGACCTGGTGGTGTGGGGAAATGACACTCCACATTTGCTGTAACCCCACCTCTACTTCAGCAGACCGCTGTGCTTTGGTTTTGAGACCAAATTAGCCATAATATTTCTCAACTCTTGCTTTAGACATTTACAAAGAATTGGTCAAGTCGGTTTATCAGCTGGAACTTCAGCATCTAAATAATCTAGGCCGTGCTAACAAAACAAAAAGACTGTACAACTCATTGTTTAGGTGAGTATGGTCAACATACAATATATACATCTATGAAAACTAAGAAATTAAGAATACTCAAGCAAATGTCTATGTTAACATTTGTTACCTCTTCAGCACATTAAAAATAAAAATTAAAAATCAAGGAAGAAATGACTCCAGTAGGTCCAAGTGGCTTACTCAGCACAAAATGAGCCTTAGTTGAGGGCTAGGGTCTCCAATTGGGGTAGAAATGGTAATGTGCACACATGTGCGTGCACACACACCCTCAGAAGTTTGCAGAATGGGAAGAAATAATGGTTTGCAGCTCTCAAGGTGATACTTCGCCTGTACTTTCCATAATTACAAGTTGCTACTTTGGCACCATTAATTTCTAGAATTACCTGTAACTTAGTTATAGAATTTAGAAATCCTATTTCTGATTCAAGAAACTATTATAATGCAAAACGTGTGTGTGTGTGTGTGTGTGTGTGTGTGTGTGTGTGTGTGTGGCTCTAAACATAACCAAACATGTATGTATCCTTGAGAAACAGTTTGGAGGCAAAACTGTGGCATGTGCTGTGATGTAATAATTGTAAAATCACTGCTGTTCTCGTTCAGCTGTCATTTCCCATTTCCTCTTTCTTCTGAAGTCCTGAACCTGGTGGTAATTTCTGATTGTTTTTCTAACGGTGGAAGTACTGATAAATGCATTTTATGTTTAATTTCTACTAAAAGAATAAATTTTAGAAAGAAAAGTCTGTGGAGTTCTGTTTCTATTTCCCCTTTTCCAAAATGTGACAGAAAGTGTGAAGAGCAGGTAATCTGCTTTTTCAGTAAGTGCACATGAAAGATTCATGTGCAGGCACACACACGTGTTTTATATCCTTTCCCTCCTTAAAAATAGAGACTGGTTTTGCATTTTAAAAGGAGACTGAACAAGAAGTTGACACTGATTCACTAAATAATCCATCCATTGATTGACTGAATATTTATTGAGCTCCCTCTGGGTATCAGCCTTGAATAAGTCATGGCTCCAGTCTGCACTGGGCTCACTATACTCCAGGGAAGAGCCAGAGGAATCAGCTGATGACACAGGTGTCGCTTCTGGCAAGACAGGTCCTATGCGGGAGGAACACCCTGGAGACCTGTACCCATTGTTATGTCATGATGATGTTAGACAAGTCTGCCTTCCACATGTCTTCATGGTACAACTAACCAGTGTTTGTACTGGACATAATCAGGTTCTTTAGAAATGAATTCATATTCACCACTCGGGTGGAGGGAGGGGCATGCTCGTGGGAGTTGTCTA